TATGGCAAAAATAAAGATGTGATAACTTTCTCGCCTATACCAGATGAACATTTCAACAGCCATTTTACTAAATTTGAGATTTTTAAAAACGTGACAGTTTGTGAACTCCTGAAGTGGAAATTCATACATCAGTATCCAGCTGTGCCTTTGTTGACTGTCTACATTTGATAATAATAATAAAAAAAGTTTCTTTAAGACCAAAGGTGTGTGTATTCCATACCTGAAGTACTGCTTGACATGGTCCAGGGCTGTCTTGTGATGCCTGTAGACCTTCTTGTGCTCCTCGTTGAATGAATCCTCAGAGTACAGCGGCCTGGCCACCACATACTGCCTGGCTCCTGCTCGCATCATGTTGCCTTTGCTGTTTGGAGGACCGCTGCTGCCTGCTATGTGACTCTAAGGCCTAATAATCACATTATGTCAGGAGGAGAAAACATGTGTTACCTTTGAACGTCACTTTTCAAAGATTAATAACAGTGAGCAGCAGAAGCTCCAGATCCTCAGATTCAGACAGAACATGAAAACCAGGCGGAGTGATTTGACAGCCTCTGTTTTAGCTCCCAATCAGAGAGGAGCGCCTAGAATTGTAACTAATGCTCACTTTTTGCAGCAACTTTGTATTTAGTCTATCAGCTTTTTTTTTTTTTTTTTTTTTTTGGGACAGAACCATATAGTTCTTGTTACAAATGGGTCATTTGGGGTCATTTTAGTTTCTGTCATGTTAGTTTCTGTGTCATTTTAGTTGATTAAATGTGGACTATAGATAATGAAATTCACAGTAAAATTTTTAGACTAAAATGCGAAATCTTCCCCAGAATAACGGGACTTTACCTCGTATCATCGGTCACTTTTACTGTTATAAAAAATTAGATTTAAATTCCTGCTGAAATGTTCATCTTTTTAAATAATCATTTTTGTTAGTCATGCTGCAAGACATTTTCTTTAGGTTTTAATCCTGTAGGTCCCAAAAAAAAGACAAAAATATATATTTTTGCTATCAAAATTCACTCTCATTTTAGCAATAAAACTTCTTAGGCTAGAATAAATTTTTAATTTCATGTGTAAATCATTTGAAAAATTG